TCTGAAACACAGAAAACAAACAATGTTTAAACTAAAAATCTCCATTTATCTGTCTGTGATTAGTTCACTGTCTGTAATAGTAGTGGAAAATTGACTGTCTGTGGTTAGTTATAAACAAGCCTCTGAGAAAGGAAGCCAACCCCTGCAGTTCCTCTGTTGTCCAGTAGAGGCAGCTGTGAGTGAGTCCCCATAGTTTGCTCCTTCAAAACACCTGTTTTTATAACTCACCTATTTAAACTGTACTAATAAGTTTACGTTATTAGGGGCGTGGTCTCTTTGGCTGAAAGATGGATGGTGACACAGGCGGCTGTAGCTACTAGCTCTCTGCTTGGCCTCACCTCAGCTAACTGGAGTCCCTGAGCAGGACCTCTGGACTGTTTTTAATGACATCATCTAACCAATAATATGGCTGCTGTACGAACAAACTGTCCAAGAAGGCTGATCTCCAGTTTAGGTGAAATTCTAGGATTTTAATTGGGTGTTACTGAGCACTAATTATCAGGTGTCAGTGATGCTCCCATACAGCTAGCTTGCAGTAGCTGATTATCAAATCAAAACAAAATGTATTTATATGGCATATTTAAAAACAACAATGTCAATCAAAGTGCTTCACAAATTAGGAAATAAATAAAATAAGACAAATCGACCAAACAGCAACACAAGACAAGACAAAGTTAGAAGCCAGCCAAATGAGAGTCAAACTAAGTTAAGACAGCGCCAGGGTAAAAAGATTCATTCAAGCAAGATTTAAAGGCTTCATAGACTAAGAAGTGTGAATGGCAATAGGGAGATTGTTCCACAGTCTAGGTGCTGTAATAGCAAAGGCATGATCAGCCTAGACTTAGGTTGCATTAAGCGCACCTGGTTTGAAGATCTTAGTGCTTTTTTAGGATTAAACACATAGAGAAGTTCTTTAGATAGCAAGGTGCAGTGTTATTTAAGATTTTATAAGCGAGTAAAAGAATTTGAAATTCAATGCAAAATTTATTCATCTCATAATGTTGTTCCAGATCAGCTCGCTCTTACAGCAGACTGGTTTTACCACCTGTTCTGAAGATCATTAACATACAGAGTTTCTGTGTGTGTGTGTGTGTGTGTGTGTGTGTGTGTGTGTGTGT